CAGCCTGGCCACAGATGTGCCAGCCTGGCACAGACACAGAGAGAGAGATGTCCCTGCCTGGTCATGGCACACATAGGGACACTCCAGCCTGGTCACACACAGAAAGATGTCTCACCCTGGTGACAGATGTGCCAGCCTGATCAGGGACAGAGGACATGCCCCCTTGGTCACAAACTCCCTACCCTGGCACAGGCAGCCAGAGGGATATGCCAGCCTGGCCAGGGACATGTCAGCCCTGGGACAATCTGCAAGGGGCACAGGGGGTGGGGGAGCTGCTGGGGGGGTGCAGGGGTGACAACAGCAAGGTGTGCTCGGGGCTGTTTTGGGATACAGCAGCAGGAGTGCACATCAGACTGTGCAGGACAGGACAGGGGTACCAGAGAGGATTTGTGTGGGGGTGTGGGGGTGAGGGGTGCAGAAGGGGAGCTATAGAGGATTTTCTACAGGGAAGTGCTGAATGGGTGCAGGGGATGTGGTGGGAGGGGTGCAGCAGGGGGCTGCAAGGCAGGAGATCTCTTTGGGAGGGGGTTGACAGGGTGCCGGGGGAGCTGCAGGGGATTTCCTGTAGGGATTTGCAGTACGGGGGTGCTGCAGGGTGCAGGGTTGCTGCAGGGCACTCTGCCACTCTGCAGGGGATGCCGGGGGGTGCCCGGGGACTGTCGCAGTCCCCCCCCCCGCCCCCAGCCGGAATACCAAGCAGCGGTGACGTCACGGCGCGGAGTTTCCCCACCCCATGACGTCACCGCACGAGGACTCCCCCTCCGATGGCGCAGCACGAAACCTCCCCTGGGCTGGGGGCGGGGAGGAGGAGGAGAAGGGAGAGGAAGAGCAGCAGGGGGAGAAGGAGCGGGAAAAGGAGGAGGAAACGTAAGACAAGGGGAAGGGGAGGAGGAGAAGGAGAAGAAGGGGAGAGAGAGAAGAGGAGGAGGAAGAGCAGGAGCAGGAGGAGGAAGGCTTTCAGCAAACCAAGCCCTGCCGGAAGCTGCTCATCCGGGGGGACCGGATCTAGCTGCGGCCCCGCAGCAGCTCTGCTCTGGCTGACGGCCCAGAGAGGGGGAGCCGAGCATGGGGGACACAGGCTGAGCCCCCCGGGGCTCCCTGGGGCGCAGAGCCCGTACTGACCCGCTCCCACTTCAATCCCACTCCCACTCACTTGGCTCCAGCGCTCAGGACGCGGCTCTTCCTCAGCACCGCTGTCAGCATCCTCCTCCACCGACAGGGACACACCCCGGGAACAACCCTGGGCACCCCCAGCCCCACAGGAAACCCTGTCAGGTCCCGGGCACCCCTGCACCCCCTGACCCGGACCCTTTCTCCTTCTCCTTCTCGGGGCTCCAACAGCTGGAGCTGCCGGGAGGGCTCGAGTGAAAGAGGAAACTGGGAGGGAGGGGGGCGGGTGACATCAGCCACACGCGCCCTGTCACCCGGCAGGAGGGGACAGCGAGGGACAGGCAGCAGAGCCCTCTGCCAGGCCTGGCCTCAGCCGGAACACCCCCATGGGTGCCAGGAACCACAGCCTGTGAGTGACACCACGACGGCTGCACGCATGTCCCTGTCATGGCTGGAACGGGAGGGAGCACTGTCCCTGTCCCTGCAGAGCATCCCACTGTCCCTGATGCCATCCTGGTGTCCCTAAGGCCATCCATTCCAGTGTCCATGACACCATCCATCCCGATGTCCCTGATGACATCCCAGTGCCCCCAGCGTCCCCGCTGTCCCTCGTGGCTCCCACCTGAAGCAGTCGGCGTGCCAGTCAGCTTTCAGTGCCTGCAGGTACTGCCCATCGTAGATGCCCTGCCCACAGCTCGCACACACCGGCAGGTCGGTCCCTGCAGGCAGGGGAACACGAGGGGACAGAGCTGTCACCCCAGCAGCCAGCCCCAGCCACCCACAGCAGCAGCCGGGATGAAATCCTTTTGCCCGGGGTGGTGAATTCCATCCCCCACCCATTGATCCCACAACGGGTCAAGGTCGTGACACCCATGGCCCCAGGGCTGGCGACAGGGCAGGGGTGGGATGGGATGGGGGCAGAGGGGGCAGGATGGGGGCACACAGTGTAGGGAGGGTGAAGAGGGGCAGGATGGGTGCGCCAAGGGATCCAGGGAGGATGGCGGGGTGTGGGATGGGTGGTGGGTGCATGGGGGGACAGCAGGATGAGTGCTGGGGGTCCTGGGGACACAGGAGGTGCAGGGTGGGGGATGAATGGGGGACACACAGAGGGGTGCAGAGTGGGTGCTGGGGCATGCACAGTGCAGTGGGGGGGCACAGAGGGGTGCAGAGTGGGTGACGGAGGATGCAGAAGGACACACAGGGATGCTGGACGGGTGCTGGGTGATGAATGGGGAGGACAGAGAGGGATGCTGGAGGGGTGCTGGGGGATGCAGGAGAGCACAGAGAGGTGCAGAGGGTTCTGGGGAATGCACAGTGCATAGGGGGACACAAGAGGGGTGCAGGGTGGAGGATGAATGGGGGACACACAGAGGAGTGCAGGGTGGCTGCAGAGTTCCTGGGGGTGCACGTTCTTGGGGTGTGTGAGGAGGTACAAGGGGCCCAGTGAGTGCAGAGGGGAAGGAAGGCACAGCAGGGATCTGGGGGTGCAGGAGAGATGCAGGGGGATTGGAGAGTGCAGGAGGGATGCAGGCTGGAGGGGATGGGGGGTGCAGGAGGGGCACATGGAGTGTGCAGGGGGAGATGGGGAGGTGTGGGGGTGCAGGGGAGATGTGGAGGTGCAGGAGGGGATGCAGGCTGGACAGGGGTGCAGTGGGAGATATGGGGTGCTGGGAGGGTGCAGGGGTGCAGGCTGGGTGCACAGTTCTTGACAAGGAGGATGGGAGAGATTTGGGGGTGCAGGGGGAAATGCAGTTGGGTGGCAGTACAAGGAAGGAGGGGGGGATGGAGGCTGAACTGGGGGAACAGGGAAGATATGGGGGCGCAGAGGGGAGGCAGGGTGAACAGGGGCTGCGCAGGGACATTTGGGGATGTGAGGAGGATGCAGGCTGGATGGGGGTACAGGGGATGCAGGCCAGGGGAGTGATGTAAGGGGGGATGACGGGGGACATTTAGAGGTGCAGTGAAGGATGCAGTGGCTGCTGTGGGCTGGATGAGTGCGAGGTGCAGGGGGTGATTTGTGGGTGCAAGAGGGATGCAGGGTGGCTGGGGAGCACAGGGGACGTAAGGTGCGGGACGGGCGTTTCAGAGGGGGATGTAGGGGTGGAGGGTGATGCAGGGGGGCTGTGGGGAAGGTGCAGGCTGGATGGGGGGGGCACGGGACGTCGGGGCACAAGGGGGACGCAGACCAGAGAGGGATGCAGTGGGGGATGCAGGGAGGGATGCGGGCTGGGTGAGAGGGTGCAGGGGGGCAGAGGATGCGGGGGGCTGCAGGCCGGCGGCAGGGTCTGCAGGAGCCGGGCTGGGGGGTCCCGGGGCCCGAGCGGCGGCGGAAGCGCTGAGTCAGCCGGGGGGGCTCGGGGGGTCACGCACCTTCGTCCTCTCCCATAGGCTCGTCCCTCCAGGTGCAGCACAGCAGCATCAACCTCATGCAGGCGCGCTGCCGGCGCCGCGCCGCGCCGGGCCTGAGGCGGAGGCGGTGGCGGTCCCCGCGCGGGCGCAGCCCCGGTCGGGCCCCCCCGGCCCTGCCGCTGCCGCTGCGGCTCCATGATT